GTGAGTGAGTGAGTGCGTGAGTGAGTGAGTGCGTGAGTGAGTGAGTGAGTGCGTGCGTGAGTGAGTGAGTGCGTGCGTGCGTGAGTGAGTGAGTGAGTGCGTGCGAGCGTGAGTGAGTGAGTGAGTGAGTGCGTGCGTGCGTGAGTGAGTGAGTGAGTGTGTGCCTGTGTGTCTCTTTTTTTTGCGAAGGCCTATACCTCACATTTGCAGTGACTTGGACGACCCCAGCGACAAATACGGGCGTGGAGCCCAGCCGATGTCCTTTTTGCCGAGACCACACAAGGCCATGAGGCAGTGAGACCACATAAGGCCACGCATGTGCTGAGGTTGAGTTTGATGCGGAGAGATATGGGTGGGGCGCTTGGCGTTCGGGATGCGTTCGGGATGCGCTGGTAGCAGTGTATGCTGAGATCAGTTACATAGTCATCTTTTAGACCTTTGAGTCAAGATTCTATTATCAGACAATATCAGACATGAGAACAATCATCTGGACTGTTGAGGAATTAAACATTCCGGAGGATGGTCAAGCATCTCCAATTTCCGGAGCCCGTCCACATATGGAGTCAGTCCGTGGTTGGGGCTCTTCGAAGCAGCCAGGTCTCTCTGAGTACAGTAAGATGATCCAGGAGATTGAGGGTACACTCAATACAGAGGAGCACCGACCCGACCCGACCCGACCGTGATGCGGTCTATTCGGAACTCCGCCGCTCCGATCCGTGGAGTCGGTTCGGAACGGCCGTTTTTTTCTTTTCGAAGCCAGGACACCTACACGTTCAGGCTGTGGGGTCCTGCTCCATTTCTGGATGTGTGCCTCGACGCTGCGACGCTGATTGAATCGTGAAAGGACCTGTTTGGTTCTTGTTTCGGCACATGTTGAGCAGACCTGCCCTCGTTTGGCCTTGTGGTTTTGTTCACACCCACAGAAATCAAATGCAGAATCGCTTGAGATGGCTTGAGATGACGAAAGGGACCCTATGGCCCTATGGATCCTTATGGGTTCGCTGTGTGAGTAGGTATACGTCAAAAGATACGGCACAGTCTTCTAGGGGGTTGGCTCGTCACTTTTCCTCTAGCATTGGGGTTTGGGAGGCAGCTCACTACTTTCGAGGTAGTACTTGCCCATCAACCTGTGTGCTCTACTCGTTCTTTTTGGATTCTGCCTTTGGCTTTGCATCATTTTGAGCAATAGTCACCTTCTGAGCCAAGGTTGAATTGGCAGCTGAAGATGGGAGCTCGAGTTAGCTTGGACCATTTTATGAAGGAGTGAGAAACCACGTTGTTTTTACTTTGACATCCGATGTTGTTTCCCTCGTTTGTTGATGAACGTCCTCTGCAGGATTTTCCGATCCACGTTTGCATGTACGACCTGCCAGCTTGTCACGAGAACGGCCATGGCGATCCGCGCCCCGGCATGAATTCGTTTAGACCAGTCCTTTCTTCTGGACTCCATGTGTCACTTGTTTGACAGTCACAGCTCAGCTACGTTGCCTCCGACGGACCGACATTGAGGCGACACTTGGAGTCCAAGAAGCGCTACTACTTCGACTTCATGGGCTGGAGCAACGTCGCCCACGGCCCCGGTATTTCCATTGGAACCTCCTCTCTTGCCGATGTGACCTTCAGCGCAGGAAGCGCTTGCGCTTTTTGTTGACACCTCGCAGCAGCGTTTCTTCCAGCCGAGGTCACCATTGCTCCGGTTATTTTTGACCGGTATGTGCCGGCCCCAAGCGCAGACGAACAGAAAAGAGGTTCTCCTGGATTTTTGTCGGCCGCCTTGGCTGTTGTAGAACATCGACAGTCCTTTTTGTCCAGCCTGTCACCAGGTTTTCCACAGTGCACCAGAAGGGTAGATGCCTCAGATGTGTCAAGTGCATGTGGAAAACAGAGATTCTGAGATACTCATTTGGGCGTGTATTTTGATGGGAATACCCAGTGGGTAGACTGGCCTATTTTCCTTCTTCCAGGGGCTCGAACTGGGAGGTCTCCCTACTTTAATGCGCTCATTTATCAGTTACTTCACAAATTGGTGAATTCGCAGAACTTGTGAATGGCCAAGACGCAATTCACCTTCGCTTTCGAGGTTCGTGATGCAGCTCAGCAGGCTTGTCAAAAACACTTTCCAGACGATTTTTCGAGAGTTTCAGATGAGCTCTTCTGCTCCAAGCTTCTTCTTTAGGTCTAATTTTGGCTTTGGCTTTGGAGATGTCCTGAGACCGGTGGATGGAACCATTCGTCAGCCACCGCGACCCTCTGGAGGGGACGAGGTCGTTGTCGGAACCCGTTCGCGTAAAGAACGTGAACTGCGTGCCGTAGGCAGTTCAGCAACAACAGCTTCCATTCCTTGCCGTCTGGAAGCTTCATGTCGGTGTGGCAGCCCAAAAAACCGGGGCTTGGCCACAAACAAAGCCGCTTCTTCGTCCGTGAAGCCATCCAACGCCATTTGGGTCTTGACTTTGAATCATGAATCCCAGGGGTCCAGCTGGGGGAGCGCCACGGGCGCCCAGCGGCGCGCGCCACGTATGTGGCGCGCCACGTACGCTCGGAGCGTCCGCTCGCGCGCTCCGAGGTGGATTCCACCGCCACGCGACCCTTTTGGCGTCGTTGGATCGACCGACTCAGGCGCGATCGGACCGGAGGATCCGGTTGGGGACTGGTGGGGACTGGTGGGGACTGGCGAACCGACGCGGACGAACGACGCGGAGCGAGAAGGGCGAACGACTCCGTGATCGGCGCGGAGCTTCGTGGTCAGCTTCTTTTTTGGGTGCTTCGTGGTATTGCTGCTCTGAACCTGGCATCCTCACTGACAAGAGTGGGGAAAGAGGATTTTTGGTCACTTCTCGGACATTGAACATACAAAAAACAGCTAATAATACCACACATACAACACATCATCCATAGGACAACGTCTCTGCTCACAATTAGTGTTCATTTTTGAACAGCGGGATCTTTACATAAGTGCCTGTAATCAAGTGTGGGCATAGAGCTGACAAGGGGAGTGAGTTGAGGGATAGAGATGGAGAAAGAGATGCAGTCAGAGAGAAAGCGACAGACAAAAACACAGGATGAATCTCAGTGGATCGTATCACAAAGGACACTCTCAGCACTTACAATACCTGGATTCAATAATATATGTATTATACATGGAGGTCCCTCGTACATCTATATATATAAGTTGTCTCAAAAGATCTTTCACCTCCACACAGCATGATCATTCGACCATGCCTTTAGCGGCGGTGGAATCTGAAACGCACTGGAGCCGAAGCCTAATTGGCGTATCGCTATGGAGGTGGTGAGCAAAACTGCTTAGCTAGAGTGGATTCCGACTTAGAGGTGTCCAGTCGTACTCCAACGTATGATAGCTTCGTGGTTTTAGCTTTGGAGCTAACCACATGAACCAAGTATCTGAACGAAGTGTGCCTCTCGTGCTGACTTTGATTATATATTGTCTCAGCATCATCATCAGCAGTAGGGAGAACTAACCTGTCCACGACGGTCTAAACCCACCTCACCTTCCCTATTGGTGGGTGAGCCCGACATTTTGGGCCTTTGCGTCTCAATGGTAGGAAGAGCCGAAGTCGAAGGATCAAACAGCAACATCGCTATGAACGGTTGGCCCATGTGATAAGTTTGTGGACGCCTCTAGCCTCTAGCAGAATAAGTTTCAGGCCTCAAAGATCGATAGGACATGCTTTCACAGTTTGTATTTGTATCTGAAAAGCAAAATCAAGCCAGCTTTTCCCTTTTTGTCCATCGAGCTTACTATAGGACACCCGCATGATCCTTTAACACATGTGCCCCTCACCTGACAATGTGCGCATGCCACAAAGCGGATCCCCACATGGTGGAGTGTCCAAAGGAGTTGGACCGGGTAGGTGGATCCCCAAGTCCACGTGCAACTATGCCTTTCCACCTTCGCCCATGCGACTCGCGTGGCAGCTCAGACGTGGCTGCGGTGTGGTGGAGTGTTGCGACAGACCACGGACCGACAGGGACAGAGAGGTCGAAAGGATGGGGGCAACAAACATGGTCTTGCCCATATGTCAATGAAAACAAATATTTATAAACATGTATAAATAAATATACATATATATATATATATATGTCACCAATATCACTGAGCATAACACGCTGTGCCTCAAGCTTTCTGGTTCAAGCCCCTGGATGAACTGGCCCCTCGCCTTGGAGTTCGCTCGCGAGGTGCGTTGGTTGTGGCCTGGCTCTTCGAAGGCCTGTGGGCCGGGCCTGGCCGCTGTCGCACTGCTCGGCGTCTGCTGTTTGGGCGTGGGCTGTTGCTGCGGGGCTTGCATTGTACCTTGGCCCTGACCTCGTCGACCTGTCAGCGGTTGCTCCATATCCTGCTGGTGAGCTTCGTTCCTGTGGTGGCTCCGACTTCAGTTGCCGTGGATCATCAGGCGCTGCGGCGCCGCTTGTCGGGTTATCGTGAGGGACGTGCATGAGCGGTGACCCGGACCCTGACTGCGACAGCCTGGCTCTGGATTTTGGTGGTTTGACTATCCGGATCAGCCGGACTCCAGATCATCGAGGCAGCGCCGATTCAGCATCTCAAAGTTCCTTTACAGTGATTTCACCTTCTACACCTGTCCCCCGGTTGGGTGCTCTTGCCAGCCCCGGAGGGGGCACTGCAGATCAAGCTCCGGTATAGCTTGGTCTGAGGAGTGGAGGCGCTCACACCTGAGGCACTCGAGGCTTTGGACCTTGAGCCAGTGGAGGCATTTGGTGGGGCGGCTGAGGGCTAGAACGGGCACGTCGGGCTGGACGCCTGCAGCTAGGCTGGCACGCGCCTTGCGTGCTGGCCTCATTGCTCGTTTCAAGCTGGATCACGAGGAAGGAGCGTTTCAAGCGAGCCCGGATATCCCACAAGCCAACCGGCGCTATCTTGTCCTGAGAGCTGCGCCCTCTAAGGCTGCTGGTTGGACAGAGGACTACACCACCTTCCTGGCTGCTGTCCGTGGCCCATATACGACTTTTCACCCTGACGCCGTCTGTCACGGCTTCCCGTCGCGAGCAGAAGGCGAAGCTTACTGCCTGGGCGCCGGCCGAACATGGCCTGCACCCCTTCAGCGCTTGGGTTGATGGAGGGGGAGCCCTCCTAGGCGCCAGCGGCGTCGAGGGTGCCTCACTGGGGTCCTCAAGCTCACGGACTTCCGAGACGATGGGATGACCGGCCATGCCCAGGAGTTCCTCGTCCTTGTGCACCTTGGGGGCTCCATGGTGGGACTTCGCTGTCAGGAGGAGTTGGCGGCGCGAGCGACTGCGATGTGCCTTGGGACATTCATCAAGGCAACCAGGCCGCAGCGGCCGTCTCAGACCCTAGAGACCCAAAAGCAGGGGGTGTTGGAGCTGCTGCAGATGGAAGAGTTGGCGCTGCTCGCGCATCAGTCCCACCCAAAGAGATCACACCCTCCTTCTTCAGTCTTAGGTGGCTCCGAGACAAGCGGGGGCGCCTTAGGGATCAAGAGTTGTTTGGAAGGGAAGCCTACAGGAAGTCGGCCGTCGGTTCGATCAAGATTGCCATAGTCCTCCAGACCACTGTTGCGGGGGGGGCTGATTTTGGATCTCCGCCAGTTGATTTTGGAGCGCTTGTGCTCACCTCAAGCGTGAAATGGCGGCGGACTACAGCTGCTCGACCTTGGCTGGGCTGCGGACCGCACTGCTGACAGCGAGCGCGGCATTCATGAGGAACCTCGAGTGTCCGGATACGAAGATCCTGGCCACCAACGCTCTGGAGGAGGACAGTCCGTCCGATGCCAAAAGAAGAGGAGAAGAGACGGACAACTCAAACAGGCAGCTCTGGCGCTCAACGAAGAAGAAGGGAAAGGAGGAGTCGACCACCGGGGCGGCTTCACACTGAGGCACGCATCCGCCCCATCGTCTGGGAGGCTGCAGGCTGGCCCTTTGCTGCGCTCCTCGTCCACAGAGCAGGGGGAGTGTATCCCTACTGCTTTCTGCGGTCGGGGGCCGGCCTGTGGCTCTCGTCCAGACGCTTCCACTCGGGGTTGTGATGCCGCTGCCAAGGTGCCTCTGAACCAGAAGGCAGGGAGGGGCCAGACGACGTTCGGTTTCGGGCGGCCTCTGAAGCCCGACGTGACTGGCCGTGAACTCCCAAGTGAAATTAGATGCAATGAGCTCGTACGAGCCGTCCTTCAGACAGCCAACCTTCCGAGCGGGTTTCAATGTTTTGCTCGGAAGAGTCTGACTCCACTCCGCGACGTTGACGGACCGTTCACAGCTAGGTCTGATTGCTGGCCTTGTCCCTCCCCGGTGTGGGGAAGATGGACAGCCACTGGCAGACTCTCACCACGTCGCCGCGGGCGGCTCAGGTTTCTGGAGACTAAAGCTCTCTGCCTCCAAGCAGTTGTGGTGGCCCTTAACTGGATCACCTTGGGGCGTGCGCACAGCCCACCGGAGTGTGGGAGAGTTGGATTCCCTATGAGCTCGCAGCAACATGACATGCTGGAGCGTTTGGAGGATTTGATTGACTACTTCTTGAGTGCGCCCACCGCATCTCTGGAGAGCCTTGGCCGTTCAGGTGAGAAGCTGGCCCAATTAGCTAAGCAAGCTTTTTTGTTGCGCACTCCGTCGAAGATTGATTTGAACTTTGAGGATATTCACAGTTTTTTAGATTACATTCAAGTTTCATTTGACCCCTACACCCACAAGCGTCGGAAAACTTCGAAGAAAGAACCTACGGCCTCTTCGCACCTCGGGAAAGACTCTGTTAGGGAAGAGGCGCAGCCCGTCCGGATCACATCCTTGGGCTCCACTGCAAAACCTGTAGTGGCTGATCGAATAAAGTGGAAGCTTGCCCCTGCATTCGATCCTGGACCCTTTTTGAGTGATTCTATCGTTCGACGAGCTTACGTTGACCCGGACGTACTGCGCCGACCTTCCGCTGACTGGCCAAAGCTGGCCCGGGCGAGGTCCATGCGAGTCGTGAAGAAGTCCTCAGGCTTGCCTCCAAGTGGGACGCCCTGCGTGCTTGCCGGCTCGTGCCCTGTGCTAGAGTTAATCCCCATGAAGCCGTTGGTATTTTTGCAGTACCTAAAGATGCTGAATACGACCGGTTGATCCTCAACCCTACGGTTATCAACAGTCGGTGCTACCCGTACTCTGCCTATACAAAAACGATTGCCCCGGGGTATTTGATGGCTTTGATTCGTTTGGATGAACATGAACGACTTCTTGTTTCTTCAGACGATTTGTGTGAATTTTATTACACTTTTACTGTAAGCCAACAGCGTGCAAAGCGTAATGCCATTGGTGTGAAGTTTTGGGGCAGGGAGCTCGAGCATTTACAATGCTACAGACCGGAGTGGCACGACCAGCAAGTGTACATCTGCTTGGCCACTCTGGCCATGGGGGACGCGTTGGCTGTAGAGATGCCCAGCAGAGCCATGTTAACCTGTTGAGACAGCTTGCATCGGCCATGCGCCCCCCTGAATGCTTGCAGTACCGGCAGCCTGTGCCTCGAGGGCCGTTCTACGAACTTTTGACCATCGATGACCACATCGGTTTGCAAAAGGTGCGAAAAGACGGCCAGCCATTTTCCGGTTGCAGCAGGGACACAGAGGTCTTTGAAGCTTCGAACGCGGCATACAACCAAGTTGGATTGACCGCCCATCCCGGTAAGATGAGACTCCGTGAACCTCGAGCTGTTGTTTTGGGCGCTGAGATTGATGGTGACCGCGGCCGTGTTTCAGCACCTTGAGAGAGGGTTGCACTGTTAAGCTTCATTACATGCATTGTCATTGCAAAGGGTTGATCGCCCGGGAACTATTGCAAGGGATCATTGGATGTTGGACACACGTGGTTCTGTTTCGCAGGCCTTTGTTCTCTTTACTTGATGCAGTTTACCATGAAGGAGAGCATTTGCCAAGGAATGCTGTGTTTTCTATGTCACAACAATGTTCCCATGAGCTTCTAATGCTGTGCATCCTGGCGCCACTCATCCAGACTGACATGAGAACCAGCTTCGCCTCGGAGCTTTTCATGATGGACGCGAGTCCTTATGGTGTCGAGCTCAGTTCTCCCCGGTGGGGATGGAAGAGCTGTGGAGGCGCACCGAGCAACGAGGTTACTATACGAAGCTTCAACAGGGTGCAAACCTGGCTTTACACGAACTAGGCTTAGATCATGCTGAAGTGTTCGGCGGGTCCTGTGAGTTTTCAGACAAGCTCGCTTCCAATCCTCTGGAATCCGAACCCTTGCAGTTGACAGACTTTGGCAAATACGTTGATGCATCTTTGCGGGACACAACAGTTGTGTTTGATTGCATTGAGTTGTTTTCCGGTCAAGGCAATTGGTCTCGACAGCATGAAGCAGTCGGCCTCCGAGTGCACCCTGGTATTGAGCGCGGCGCTACAGGTCTTGCGTACGGGGACTTGACTGATGACGACACCTTTAGAGTTTTGGCCAAACTGGCTTACATGGGTTCAGTCCGGGACTGGCGTGCAGGTCCCCCCTGTTGGTCCTTCGGGACGTTCAAAGGTACACCCGGCAGGCTTTGCGCCTCAGGACCCTCAGACGGCCGAGCAGACATCCCTAGCAGTCCGGACTGCTTTCCTCTTGACTTTAGCCCTTTTGGCTGGTGGTTACATCTCACGCGAACAACCGGGCGGGTCTGTCATGTTTGAGTTGCACGCATTCCGGGTCTTACTTAGTTTGGGATGTTGCGTAACAAGCCGTGGTATACCTCGTTGGCCGGTGGCTGTACATGTCAGTTTAAGGGCAGACATTTTACAGTGCAAGGAACCTTCACGAGGCAGACGGTGAGGCTGTTCAACTCCAGATGCACCCCCACTAGTGTCGCAGTGTATGGGCGTGAGCCTCGTGTCGGGGAGGCCGTCAGCAAGTATTCGGCTTCGTATCCGATCGGTCTATGCGAGGCGATGGCTGCGGGCGCCAAGGGGTGGTTGAGTTCTCCTTCAAGCCCTGGGACTCGCAGTACGCTTGATAGGCGCTCTGAGGACTCTGACCGGTTCACTAGGAATTGGTTTGATGACCCGTCCTGGGTCGAAGATATTTGTGAGAGCTTGAGTTTCCGCGAGTTGTTTCGCTTCCGCTTCAAACGTGGTGGTCACATCAACTGTCTTGAATGCAGGGTCTACAAAACTTGGTTGAAACATTGTTCAAAGCAGTATCCGCGTTGTCGCATGGTTGGGTTTTTGGACAGTCGTGTTACAATGGGAGCTTCTGCAAAGGGCAGGAGCTCGTCCTACGCACTGAGCAGGGTTCTGAAAACATCTCTTGGTTATGTTTTGGGGGGTTGCTTATACCCTGGAACAATACATTGCAGGTCGGAGTGGAATCGTGCAGACGGACCGTCGCGCGATCAGGCAGTCCCAGGCCCCACTAGACCTGTTCCAAGGTGGTTGGAGGAACTTCAGCAGGGCAACGCTGCCCTATTTGACACAGAGGTTGAATTGGCCCGATGGTCACGACCAGTTGGTCGCTGGGTCAGACTGTTGTTGTTGATGGCCGGTGACATTGAACCCCATCCAGGACCTGTTGGCGAGGGCACGTATGGGCCGCGCAATGAGCGGTTCTTACTGACGGGTTTGCAACTGCGCCCGTCACGCGCTTGAGAGGCCCTTTCTTGTTGACGCCATCATGGCCTGTAAAGGTTTCGGCCGGGGTTTTGACACCAACTGGTCGGAATTTGGCGAACTGTTACCGGACTACAGTGGAGGAAGCGGGGCAGTGCAGAGCTGTGCTCCCGGCACCTTCCTAGCTTTGTCTCGAGCAGTGTTGATGGTAGTCTTCGTGTGGGGCTGGCATGGGTGCGTGATGATTTGCATCTGTCTCGGTGAGGTGAGACCTTGTTTTCCCTGAGTTGGATGGTGCTTCAGTTCATCGGTTGAAGACGCAAAAGATTTTGACATGCAGAGGTGGCAACGCAACTTCTTCTTTTGATTCGGACGACGCTTTGCCGTCAGATTTCATTATTGGAGGGCGCGCTCGCTTCCCCTCCGTACTTTGTTTTGTTTGCAGTGCACAGCAGAAGACCAGAGTTGGAAAGTGAAGCTGTTGGTTGACGATTCATTGGCCTTTTCATTGAGCAACATTGACGTTGGTTGAACTTGGTCGTACATTGCTCTTTGATGCCGGTCGGACTTGGTCGTACTAGCTCCACTTCCAGCAAACACCACTATCCTGCAAAGCAGGACGGGCTACTCGGCACCAGCGGAGAAAACAGCGCTAGTGATGTCACCAATATCACTGAGCATAACACGCTGTGCCTCAAGCTTTCTGGCCCACCCGGCCTCCCAAAGTGAAGCTGTTGGTTGACGATTCATTGGCCTTTTCATTGAGCAACATTGACGTTGGTTGAACTTGGTCGTACATTGCTCTTTGATGTCGGTCGGACTTGGTCGTACTAGCTCCACTTCCAGCATGTGTTGTCAACACCACTATCCTGCAAAGCAGGACGGGCTACTCGGCACCAGCGGAGAAAACAGCGCTAGTGATGTATATAATATACATAGGTATCCGGTTCACATCAGATCAGGTCCACTGTATCAGAAGTGACGGTTGCGAGCGCCGAAATCGTCAGATGGGTCAAGTGCTTCAGACTTGCGGGGACTCATCCATGGGGTCCTCACAGGGTCCTCTGATACATTCATGCATCATGTGCAAACAGCCCCCGGGCTGAGACGCTGTGGACACGGGAAATCGAACGCTCGCGGACAAAGACCCTCTGGAATGCAGAGCCAAAAGGCAAAAGGCAAAGAACACGTCCTTGAAGTCATCCCAGAAATGATATCAATGCAAAGAACGTGGAGTGTGGAGGAACATGTGGATTTGAACACAGACACATAATGATAAATGCATGGTGAGAAACACTTGTAGGGCTAAAATCCTTGTGACACAACCCACGGTGAGGAGGATTTTCGATGATCGGTTCCCACTACATCTTGCTGTCAAACTGCAGGCAAACTCCGAGTGAGGCCCGTGGTCGAAATCTCTTCAGCTGGATCTTTTGAAATCAAAGGATGTTGAAACATAGGGGCCATCTACTGCAAAGGCAGTGCCATCCTGGACAATTTGTTCGGGAGGGCGCCAGAATCCAATCATCAAAAGAGTTGCAGGCTTGCATCGCTGGGCTGCCTTTTTCTAGCCGTTTTTCGCTTAGAGCACCCCAAAAAGACAGTTGTAGTAGATTAGATGTTCCAATTTCAGCTCATGCTCGCTGTGTTTTATTTCTGACTGGTGGCTCCCTGAAACTGTCGACTGTCGAAGGGTTCTTCAGCGAGCCAGTTGCTCTGGACCTGTCGACGGTCGATCGAAGCTGCCCTACTGGACCCAACGTTTCCCGACCATCCGGAGCCGACTCGTTGGGAACACTAAGACACTCATGAACAGAGAGGTTCCTTCTCAAGACACTGAGCCCGGTTCTTCGTTCAGAATGAGGTCCTGGATCTTGCTGTCCTGGATCTTTGCAAGATCCATTGATTGAAAGGTTTCGAGTGCCTTTGTTTGCATCGCTCCCATTGGCATGCTCAACTCTCAGTAGTAAATCGCGTTACTGTTTTGGCTCCAAGCGCTTTGGACCATAAAGTCCTTGTTTCAGGGTAGAATCAAGTGGTTTGCAGGCGCGTGCACTGCGATTGATACATCAAGAAATTGATTGCTTCCATGCAGAGGCAGCGATGTAATTTTGCTTGGAAGTTTGCTTCCAATCACCCCGATCGAGTGAGCTGTTTGTTCATTCTGACAAAGCATCCACAGACAGGGCTTGCTTAAGTAGCAACAATCATGGTTTTTGCAGGGAATGCAACGAACTTGGAACGTTTCTCTGAGTTTCTTAGTCTGTGATGTGAATGAGTCTGGCGACATGACCTGGTGCCATGGCGGCGGACGCACTCAGCGACAAGATACTTTTTGAAGCCGCCCAGGTTGCGGTGAAAACGCTGTCCTCCCTGGACGACAGGAACAAATTGCGTCTATACGCGCACTACAAGCAAGCAAAGGGAGGCGCAGTGCAGGGCTCCAGGCCCCCTGTCTTTGAGCAGATTGCCAGGGCCAAATGGGATGCTTGGTCTGCGCTTCAAGACATGAGCAAGCAAGATGC